AAATCTTTATAATGATTTGTTCGTGATTTGGATTTATGAATTGGAAAATTATTTTTTGGGATGTATGATTTTGTTTTGATTATTGTTTGATTTGTTTTAGCTTATTTTGTCGATTTTGTTTATTTTTTTTCCGCCGACGTCGCCATAATAAATTCATACTATGTTTTCAAAAAAAAACCTTTAAAAATCCAATTTTTTAAAAAAACAAATATTACACACATTTATGTTTTTTTAATAAATTATTATTGACTGAAAATTTCATGATTTGTTTTTTTGTGGAAAACAATGAAAAATCATACGTAACAATTTTCATTGAAAAATCATCAGCATTTATGAAAATTACATTATTGTTTTATTATTTTTTATGATTTTATTACGGCGATGTGGGAGGAAAACAATCTCAAAACACACAAAAAATAAATAAAAACATAAAATGAACCATATAAAATGTACCGTAAATACTTTTCGAAACCGTTTGTGGCCTTTTAACCGAACAAGGTCCGACAAAAAACATTTAGTTTTTACCCGACTTCTGCTGTTTTTTTGGGGGGCTGATTTTCCAAATATCTTGCGAACTCTACTTTCAGGGCTGTTCGGTTCTGTACCCTCCACCTAAGAACTTTTCCACCACAAAGCAGTTACCACCAGAGGAATCAGGAGACAGTTTGCGCTTCAGCAGGCGACTACAAAGAGCTCTAAGCCCGATGGGCCTGCTGCAGGGAAGACGCCTGCAGAAGTGACCCGGCCTTCAAGGCGGTATTTCTAGGACCTTGATTGCGGGCAGACGTTTTTGTTCTTGCCGCCTACAGGGATATGTGATTAGATCCAATACTTTTTTATGGGCTGTTAGGCCCCCACTCCATACGCGGGGCCGAACCAAAAGTTCGGACCGGTTTTCAAAGTCTTGCAACATGAAAGTTTTCATTGTTTTAGAATACAATGAGCAGTCAAGGTCCAAGCCTTTTTGATTCGTGAAACAATTTCAGCATTTATGGGGCAGGATCGGCAGCACCAAAGCGGGGCCCACAGGTCCACCTAAGAAATTTCCACCTAGAACATGTTTCCACACACTTTTAGCTTCAAGAGGCGATTGCGAAGAGTTCTATGGCTGATAAGCCCGCTGCAATGGAGACGCCTGCTGCAGCTAAGACGGCTCCAGAAGTGACATGACGCAAGGACGTCCGACGGTTTTTCTATGGCTTAGAGGGCAGACTTTTTCCCACCTACAAAAACCGTAATTATTAGATCCAATACGTACGTATGTTTTTTTCGGGCTGTTAGGCCCCCACTCCTCAACGCATGGCCGAACCAAAAGTTCGGACCGGTTTTCAAAGTCTTGCAACATGAAAGTTTCATGTTTTAGAATACAATGAGCAGTCAGGTCAAGCCTTTTTGATTCGTGAACAATTTCGGCTTATATGGGGCAGGGTCGGCAGCACCAAAGCGGGGCCCACAGGTCCACCCAAGACATTTCCACCTAGAAGATGTTTCCACCAAAGGACAAGTGTGCAACCATATACTTTTAGCTTCAAGTTGTGATTGCGAAGAGTTCTATGGCTGCCATCAGGATGCAGTGGAGGCGCCTGCTGCAGTGGGTACGGCGCCAGAAGTCACACGGCGCAAGGGTGGCCCACGCGACATTTTTCAGAGCCTAGATTGGGGGCAGACTTTTTTCATTTACAGATAATCATGATTAGACTTATATACTGTAGACCCAATACTTTTTTGGGGCTGTCAGGCCCCCACTCCTCTAAGCATGGCCGAACCAAAAGTTTGGACCGGTTGTGAAAATCTTGCAAGAAAATGTCATGCAATTGGGGTTGCATGCTCAAAGCATAGACAGGCGCCAGCTGAAGAAACAGCGGTTGGCAAGGAGCCAATCGAGGAATGCCAATATCCAGATGTGACTTGGCGCATGGTGCAAGGGTACCGGCAAGCCCCTAATCAAAAGTCAGTGGATATTGTTTCTCCGTGGCTTTCCACCAGATGTTGTCAATGGTTTTCCAAGTGTTCCATCATTTTGTCTGCAGTTTTCCAACAGCGGTTTTCCTTTGTTGTCCACCAATGCTTTTCCGTTGTTTTCCAACAAAAGTTTTCCATGGGTTTCCCAATCAGAGTGCTCCATGGTTTTCCACCAGGGTGTGTCCATGGGTTTCCGCCCAAAATAATGTTGCATGATGTTCCACCGTTTTTTTTCCGTGCCTTTGACAAGGTGTTTCCATGGTTTTCCACCAATGCTTTTCCATGGTTTTCCAGCGTAGTTTTCCAACAACTTCATTTCCGCAGTTTGCCAAGGAATTTGAATACCCTGAAGTGACTCGGCTCAGTGTGAATTCCCTTCCACATAGAATTACACATAGGATTCCACATAAGTTTCCACCAAGATATTTTATATCACCAGTATCGCACAACAAGGGCCCACTTATGGTTGTTATAAATTGCTATAAAGAACACATAGCAGTCATTAATCCTCTGATACATATAGCCTCTGTGCCACCGCACTGCGCTTCACATTTTTGGTCTTTCCAGCAATTGTTTTGAAACATCTCGGTGTCCCGAGGGTCCTTTCCAAGTGAGTCTGGGCGATGAAGAAAGACGTCAGCAATTTCTAGCCAGGTAATTCCACCTATCGGAAAATTTTCACCAGAACGACGCCAAGCTGCCAGGATGTCCCACCCAGGAAACTCCACCTAGGATTTGGTTCCCGACACAAAGAAAAGGAAAGAATTGCCAGCCAGGATGCCCCACCTAGAAACTCCACCTAGGAAATTTCTCTGCAGAAAGAGGCAAGCCAGCAAATCCCTTAAATTCCAAAAAGGAATCAAAAAGGGAATTCCAAGAAGGAGCAGGAGCACTGCAAGGAACTTCCACCCAGGAAACTCCACCTAAGTAACTTGCAACCACACAACGGGAAACTAAGGAATTTCCACTCACAAAACTCCACCCAGGTAAGTCTTGCTGAGGAAGAAAAAATCCAGCACTTTCTAGCCAGGTAAGTCCACCTAGGCAATTTTTCCCCAAGACAAAGGAAAGCAAGGAATTGCCAGCCAGGATACCCCACCCAAGAAACTCCACCTAGGAAATTTCTCTGGAGAAAGAGGCAAGCCAGCAAATCCCTTAAATTCCAAAAAGGAATCAAAAAGGGAATTCCAAGAAGGAGCAGGAGCACTGCAAGGAACTTCCACCCAGGAAACTCCACCTAAGTAACTTGCAACCAGACAACGGGAAACTAAGGAATTTCCACTCACAAAACTCCACCCAGGAAAGTCTTGCTGAGGAAGAAAGATTCCAGCAATTTCTAGCCAGGTAAGTCCACCTAGGCAATTTATCCCCGAGACATAGGAAAGCAAGGAATTGCCAGCTAGAATACCCCACTCAAGAAGCTCCACCTAGGGCCTAGGGAATTTCTCTGCAGACAGAGGGAAGCCAGCAAATCCCTTAAATTCCAAAGAGGGAATTCCAAGAAGGAGCAGGAGCACTGCAAGGAACTTCCACCCAGGAAACTCCACCTAAGTAACTTGCAACCAGACAACAGGAAACTAAGGAATTTCCACTCACAAAACTCCACCCAGGTAAGTCTTGCTGAGGAAGAAAAAATCCAGCAATTTCTAGCCAGGTAAGTCCACCTAGGCAATTTTTCCCCAAGACAAAGGAAAGCAAGGAATTGCCAGCCAGGATACCCCACCCAAGAAATCCCACCTAGGTTTTTTTTTCCGCGGAAAGCGGGAAACAAGCAACTTCCACCACCACCCGCGAAATTCCACCTAGGGAATTCATCTAGGAATTCCACCCAAGAAGCAAGGAACTTCCACCCAGGAACTCCACCTAGGACATTTCTTGCAAGAAAGAGAGAAGCAAGCAATTTCTAGCCAGGCGCTTCTACCCAGTTCGAATTTTTAATGAAAGGAATTTCCACCAAAGCCAAAATCGTATAGTACCGTACAACCATTTCCATCTGATGATTCTGTAGCAATCCCACAGGCCGCTCTCAATACCATTGTTTTGGGTCTAACTTTAACAACTCGACTCATAGAGTGTTCCAAATCATCAGCACCATATATTTGGACCATTTACCATTTACCTGCATGTATTCCCTGTGGTTTGCAATTTTTTAAACATGCGGAGTGGGCCCTACCATTTAAACATACGTACAGAACTGGTATTTCATACTACCTCCGAGCCTGACTGCCCTGGCCCGGCCACCACATATTTAAATGTGATTACCGTATCATATCTATCTATCTATCGATCTATCTATCGATCTATCTAACAAATAATCAGAAGGTACATAGCAGTATAACAACATTTTTGTTGATGCTGTTCCCATTGAAACATCTTCAAACATGCACATGTCTCTCTCTTTCCCAATTTTTCCCCGTGTCTGCCATGTCAGATTGCCCTGGTGATCCCTGGTGCCCAGTTTCCACAACACATAGAGTTCCTCCGCCAATTTCTGTAGCACCGAAGGCCTCTCCCCAACTTTGCCGCGGCCCAGCACGATCGGCGCCCCGCGTACGGCCGCATCCAGGCTCTTGCCGCGAAGCTCCAAGGCGTTGGAGGCGGCGGAATGCCTTGGTGACCACCAGTGGCTTGAGGTCATGGTCACTATTGGGGTGAAATATGGTAAGATATGGTGAGATGTTGGGGTTTACTGTTGGGTTCAATTTTGGGTTAATTATGGTTGACTATTCATTGAATGTATTGATGGACGTTGATGGAGAATCACGCATTGTCCTCAATTTGTTGAGTGGCACGAATGACCTGGTGAAAAAACAGATAAAACTTAAAACTGTGAAAAAAACAAAAAAGGCGGTGAGTTTTGGGCAAACGATAAGATACAAAGCTTCAAAGACCTCCCCGTGTTGCCCTGCGCAGGCAGCCACCAAGCTCTCCAAGTCTGCCAGCGACGCTGTGATCCCTTGAGCTTCGATCTGCTGCACGCTGGTGGCGGCGAGGACGTGCCAAGTTGGCTGGTGAGATGCTGCTATGGTGGAAGATGCTCAAGCCAAGTTAGACAACTCCTGCCTTTTTTGACTCAAGGGCATCCATGGGGCACCCCCAAGTCGTCAAAGGTCGGCCCCCCAAGACACATAGGCGGCTTTGAAAACTGTCTAATACACTTTCGAAGATAAGTGGGTAATCATTTGTAAGGCCTTCTTGTTTCGGGGGCACCTTGATGATTGGTGCTTTCAGTGCAACCCAAAAATATGAACTTCTAGTATCCTCCAGTATCCTCACCCCATCGGGAAAATAAAAAAGGATTTGAAACCATCAGCCAGCCGCAGTTTGAACTGACCACTTGGAGCATGTAGAAACGCATCTGTCAGCACCACCTTGGTTTTTCGAAAGGTGCTCGTAATATCTCTTGACGGAAATTCCACTTCAAGTTTCTGGATGCTTCGAACATGTACGTGTTCGCCCAGATATAGACACAAATCACACTTGTATAGATATACATATAATATCATATAATAACATCAAATCATTTCCTTGGATACCTATATTCCAGTATATTCCAGTGTATTCCATTTGATCCTTGGGCTGAGCAACATCCGTTCAGAAATTCATTTAGGTTGCCTCTCCATACTTTTTAATATGCTGCGCCATGCTTTTCATAAATCCATGTGGGGTTGTTTCCTAGAATAGGGTTACCCCAAAACCTATTGGTTTCCGGAATCGCAAATTCTGGATGATTTTTTGCTATCCCACATGTCAAGAAAACCCTTATATAATGTTAAGCCATACCACTCACCAGCACCATGCCACTATGGTACCTTGCAGGCAGAATCATCCACTATCAGCCGAGCAAAGGTCCAGGCCACGTTCGCCACATCCTGATTTTTGGGGTCCCTGCAACTGCATTGTTGTGCCCTCCTGGATATCAGTTGGTTTAGAACCCCATCATAAGTTATAGATTATATGATGTGTCTATCATGGAGCTAGGTTAAACACTGGCAAACCCAAGTATGGGGCAGAGGGCACCACCAAATTTGGGGGATCATCCGCAACAACTGGTGAAAAGTGCTGTGAATGAAGAAAATTGAAGAAACACACGGAACAAAACATGCATCAAAAAGGAAAAAGACGTCGAAAAGGTCGTAGATTTACGAGCCGTGCAGCCTGACACGCCATGTCTTCCGGAGACAGGGATGCGGCAATGGCATGGAGCAGCGGCTTCTTGCAGGTACCTAGGACGCCGCAACGGGCATGCAGGCCTTAAGAACTTGCGACTTTTTCCTCGCAAGTAATGTTAGTAAACCAATATAAGTAACTACCCATATGATGTATTCTGGTGGTTTATGCCACCCATGGTGATTTTTTGGGATGGCTTACTATTGCTTTAACACTATTTTATACCATTTTAACCTATTTTAACCACATATGGGGATGGGTCAAAACCCTGGTACCTAGTGAACCCCAAAATAGCTGGTAAATGGATGTTCATCCCACTAAAATGTATCTATAGGTATTGACCCATACCCATATCAATTAACCTGTTGAAGCCCTGCTGGAATGTCTTGGATCAGGCCTCCGGCTGACACCGAGCGACTGAGGGTCCCAAGGTACCACGCGATGCTGACCAGGCCTCGGGAGGAGAACTCCTTGAGGCGGGCCATGGAAACGGCCGCGACGTCCGCCATGAGTTGCGGGTCCTCAGGAGGCGCTAAAGCAGGAGTCTTGGGAAGTTTTTCAATGGAAATTCCTTTAAAAAAAACATTAAAAACATTTAAAAAAAACATGTGTTTGCCATCACTTGCTGCGAATGTCCAAGTTCAACATATTTCAACATCACATTCTCTCCCTGAGGTCCCGCTCCTCATAGCACAGCTTGCCCATGGCCCAGAGGAAGCTGCCCAGCTCCTGCTCTCCACCTCCCAGTACCGTCTCTCGCGCCCGGCTGAAGGCCACCAGCAGCGGCACATCGCGCCAGGACAGCGAGGCGAAGGTCCACAGAGTGTTGGCCATGCACTGCGCGTCCAGCTGCCTGGAGCTTTTTGGGGAGGGAAAGGTTGGGAAATGTTGGGGTGCTGTTAAAATTTAGGGGCTCTACATGGTTCTACAATTTTCATGGGGTATCATATGGGTATTCATGGGTGTTCCAATCATTTCGGTTGTCAGGAGTTTTTTGTGTTGTTTTGTCTGTGAATTTTCGGATGGTCAACGGTATACTCCAGGTTTTGGACAGATCGATTTGCTGGTGCTTAGATGTTTGGTGATGTTTGGTGTGGTTTGGGTGAAACTTGGGAACCTCTCTTGAGTGTGACTGTTGACTGGTCATGGGTTGCAGGAGGGAAATCTTGTGGTGTCTAAAGGATCTGAAATATTGACATATCATCCCTGTGGTCCTGGTCTCGGCATAGGCTGCAGCTTCCTTGGCCAGATCGCTCATCAACCCGCTGATGTGCAGCACGGCAGCCCCTCACGCTGCATTGGCCAGTTCTTGTGCACCAAAGTCTGCGCATCGCTGGTGGATCAAGGCACTGAGAATCTCCTGCACCGGTGAGGTCCTGAGATGCACCAAAGATCACCAAAATGGGCACTGGGTACCAATCCGTCCCAAAACGTGTGGTAAACATGCGTGAACGTCCCAGAATGTGGGCTAACAGGCTAACAGGGAGGTTCAGATGCAATACATGTGAAGTTATTCAAAAGCCTGAAATTGAAACTTAGGTGACTAGCCAGCAGGCCTCAACCTTGCACGGCCAAGTCTGAAGTAGCCCCAAAGACTTCCAAAAATCATCACAACAAGACAACGACTCCATAGAAGCCCTGAGCAAACCTGCACAGCAAGCGTCGCACACGCCATTCTGGCAAGTGCCCAAGCAATATTTGCCACCCCCTGTGGTGCTAACTCACTTCCTTTTGACCACAGCTGCCTGGTCAACGTCTCCAAGAACGGCTGCGGCTGATGCTTCAGGGTACCACGTCCTCACGCGATGTTACTCAGGCTCCGGGGCTCCAGATCTGCCGCTGCATGGGTCAGGGCCGTCATCATCTGCTCCTGGGAGGTTGGTGTCAGAGGTTGGTGCTGTACAATCTCAACTCAAGACCCAGGCATCCAAAGGTAGTCTTGTTATGTAGTGATGGAAAATCCGTCAATATATTATTTAAAAATCATATGTACACACTATATCTATCTCTCTCTCTCTCTGTGTGCTGATGTATGTAATATAATTTTTTTTTAAAAAAAACACCAGTTTTGTCATTGTGTGAGAATCTAATCAGATTACATCCATACAAAGTAGCCACACCAAGAGATGCCAAGAGTCATGCCTAACCTTCACTCTCATCCCATCCCATCCCTGCCTCATAGATTTCCACCTTGGCGAAGCCTCAAGCGATGCCCGCCACATCCCGCCCTCGAACTCTCGCAGCCAGGCGACACAGCACCGCGGCGCCCAGCCGACGCCACAACGACTCTTCCCGGGCGCGGAGGGTGGCAAGGCACCAGGCGAGGTAGGAAAGCTTCCTGGGGCTGGGGGTTGGCCCAAAAATCTGGAGACTGTTTAGAAGATGTGTGGGGGATTTTAACCGTAAAAATTGCACTTCAATTCTATGCCATAGTAAAAACATGATGGGTCAAGTCCGAGAATCCGGGTGCAGGAACCCCCATAATCCATGAGAATCCATTGAGTCCCTGTCCACTTCAGTGATTAAAAAGCATTCAGTTTGGGGTTAGATAATGTTAGATACTATTTATCACAATTCCATGTGGGTTCATCTGGTGGACACGGGTTTGGGACGCACCATGTCTGTCCCTGCACAGATTGTGAAGCATTGTTTCACGATGTGTTGTGAGATGTGTGTGCCCCGTTGGGAAGACTATTACAAAAGGAATTGCCTGAGATCTCCGGATCCCATTGCGAACAGAAGGACAAGGTTCTGCGGGGCTAGTTCTTCCAGATTCTGCAGTGCAACATGGACAATGGAATCAACGATCCTTCGATCTCGCTCCTGCTTGTGCAAAACTGACAGCTGCTTGGTGCTTTTTAAAACCCTACCCACCACCCTCCCTACCTACACCACACTAGTTTGATGTTGAAGGCAATCTGTCACTCACATCATTGCCACAAAACAGGGTTGCTCCCCAACACCCCAAGTACAATGGTACATTGGCTAAATTCGGCTACATATAGTGGTAAAATGGCTAAATGCGCCATTTTATGTGGCTATCAAGCGAAAGATGGGGGCAGGAGCCACCCTGCAAAAGGTCCTTCAACTTTGCAAAACACCAAGCAAAATGCGCCAGCACCTGCGCTGTAGCGGGCTGTTCCTTCGCCCACTCCTCTCTCAGCTCGGATTTGGAGGTCTTATTGCGAAGCGATCGGGCAGATGCGAGGCAGAACGCACCTCAGAGTCGCAGGTCTGACAGGGGAGCCCCTAAGAGGAATGAACCTTCCAGATCCTCGAAGGGTGTCATGTTCTGATGACTTCTGATGACTTCTGATGACTTCTGATAACTTCATATCCTAGCTATCTGAATCATTCTGAATCTTGCCGGTGGCAAGGCTCAAAGGGAAAGTTAGCGCGGCAAGGTCTTCCAGGTGGCCCCCAGCGGCTGATGCCATTGGTCCCCAGGGCGGCTTCTCATGCAGGCGGCCGCGGCGGAAGGCGGTGACGGCAACTCCATCAAGGATGGATGGAGTGAAGCTGGTCACATACGGAACCAAATGCGTAAGGGTGTGTATGTGCCAAAAGCCAAAGTGACTAATCTAAAGTAAGGACCCAAGGATGTCTAGGCCTCAATTTACCACACAAAATGACCCAATCATCCAAAATCATCCAAAATCTGGATTTTACTGGAGGGCTTGAAATTCCGATCCGCAGCCAAACCTATAGCTGCTGTTTCCATCGATTGTTCAGTCATATTTTTCTCAAGCTGCCTGGCTGCAATTGTCTCCCACGCGCACCATCTTGAGCCAGCTGACGCACCGTGTGACTGACGCACCGCTCAGTGCGGCTGGAGCTGGTTCAGAAACTCGACCCATTCAGAATGGAGCCCTCAACATGGGAAAAATACCACCAACAAATTTTGGCCGGTTCCAATTCCCAAAATCCATGAATCAATGGATTGGTTTAAGGGAAAATCTTAACCGGAAACCATAGATTTTCCCATGAAGATCATGGGGCTTAAACCAGTAAAATTTCCCTTAAACCATCCATTTTCCATAGATTTTCCATAAAATTTCCCATGAAAATCCTCAGTATTTGCCAACTCAAAATCCGCCAAGCCGCCGTCGACTTCGCCGGAACTCTCCAGCAGCGTGTCGCCGCAGCCCTCGGCCACCACCACGACGCAATGTGCCTTGGACCTCGGTAGAAGACAACGGATATAGAAATGATGAGAAAATATATAAAATAATAGAATATAATGTGTACATGTATATATATATATATGTGTGTGTGTGTGTGGATTTAATGCTCATTTATGATCCACTTTATCGTGATTCATGTATCCAATATCTACTCACTTACTTATCCATCTAGGGATATATATATAATATATAAGAATGAGATCTGAGGCAAATAGATTCCATGGATAGTGTGTGGATAGAAATTCTATGGAAATTACGTGTCAGTATCGAAACAATAACATGAAAAGGAACACAAGAAAGTCGAATTTGATTGTACGAAGTTGCGAGGCGGAAATCATCTACAATCTACAGATTTCTACCGATATCTTCAGTACAACATCCAAGACATCCTGGTCTTTTCTTGATCCATTTGGATCTATTTGGCGGGTCCTATGCCAGAATGGACAGTTGGTGGAGTCTAGGGTCCTCAATCAGAGGCCTTGACCAGCGTCAGCGTTCCCGACAAGCCGAGGTGCTGCATAAGTTCCAAGATGTGCTGCAGCACCTTTTCGAGGCCTCAGAAAAGAGCCAAGAAATCAGTTTGGATGAGTTGCCTTCTTAGTCATTCGTTTCTTGTTGCCTAGCTCTGTTTACTGGCATGATTTTTCTGGCCCATTTTTTTTTGTCAGGGCTTCGCGAAGGATTTGCCCTACCAATTGGCTTGCATCCTTGTGCAGCAGAGTATTGTTCATGTTGAGTCACTGTGGAACACGTGAAAATTATGAATCAAAAGGATGAACTACTGTATTTTTCTGGCCCATACCCAGTAAATCAATGTAAATCACCACCAGGTCCACTTAAAATATCTTAAAATCCCCATTTAAAAACAAAAAAAACACATATAAAAACTGAGTTGATGACAATGAAATCCCTATGAACTCCACCGTGCTTCGCTGCCCCCGATCCCAGTGGCTGATGGTCATCTCCGGCAGCAGCACGATGTCCGCATGCCGGGCCGCCAGCCCGGCATGCAGTGCGATGAAGCCAGAGTGGCGTCCCATCCTCAGGCGATGCACGAAATTTCAATGGCCACAGGTAGCGATCCACTGGAGGTACTGAACCATCTAAAGATATCAAAAGCCACGAATCTTGGAGGTATATCGCCTGAAAGTCAGACCTTATACATGGTAGGTACCTCCCATTTAGGTTCCTGAAATGGCAACTAAACCCTGGGCTGTCTAATTGGGAGGGGATCATTTTTGTAGCAAATTATCATGATTGGAAGGTAGCCCCCCATGAATCAACCAGAATTTTATCCATCCGGAGTTGACATTACAAGATTTCTATAGATTTCTTGTAAAGGGAGAGGCCACCTGTAACATTCTTTGAAAAGTTTACGAATAACAATCCCAGCAAAAATAATACGCCGTTTTGGGGTTTGGCTAACCGTTGTCACCCTGCTGTGAGACCGTTGATTTACCCAGAATAAAAACAGTAATGATGATAAATATGATGATGATAATGATGATGATAATGGTGATGATAATGATTTTTATTAATTAATAACGACAACAACAATAGTAATGATGACAAAAACAACATCATACAACGTCAGTTATATAGATTTGTGTGAAATCAAAATGAATGGCCATAGTACAGTAATACAGTTTTATTCCATATTAAATGGCCATGGATTGAAAAGGAGAACCATAGAAACATAGGACGCTATAGTTATCGGTATGCATTGTTCATCATTATTATGAATACTGATAAGGCCATCCTCATGCATAAGGAATGATCAAAATAGTCCTATCTCAGGATATTACCCCATCAACCAATATTATGAACCAATCCTGTCAACCTTCATTATGAGTCCATCAACCAATCCTATCAACCTTGAAGTAGCCCCAAAAAAGATAGCAAGTGATCACTATTCTAGTGGCTTTCTGCCATATTTAACCAACCTACCAATCCTTTTTGGTGATCTCAAGTTCTTTTCCACCAATCCTCCATGGATCCATATCTCACCCTGCCAAGCGGCAACTTCACTAATCCGATGCAGTTGGCGTTGCAGGTGGCCTCTACATAGGCGGCCTCAATCATCTCTGCATCCCATGGGAATCCCGCATGAACATCACTGATACCCCCTGGTGATTTCAAAGTGACTTCCGGAAATAAATCTATAAAATTCTATATTTGTATATGTGTATATGATATGCTTAAAACATAAATATATAAATCATATATTAATTATATATATATAGTTATATACATATAGTCACCTTATATTACAGTAGATATAGGACCCCAATAAAATTCAACGATTGCAGGAAAGTAAATCCTGCCACCAAATGCTACCAGTGCTACGTGGATGTTCCCTTTGAGGTCATCACCTTGATGGCTCGTTCTGCTTCCATACAGGCAGTGTCAAAGCCTCGGGGTGGACTCTGCTGTACCACACGATGTGGGAAACAAAAACGGGACACCGTGAGAAAATGTGAGAAACCCAATGGCTTTCACCGGAATTGTGTTTCGTCCGCTTCACCACTGCCGTGTGAGCCGGGAATTCACCTGTTTCCGGCTGGTTCAGAAAAAAATCTGCCGTCCGCGACGACCCGCCTTTCAGCTGCACTCCTGAGGCTCCGGCCGAAGGTGCAGTCCAACATTGGAATGTCATTGTCGATGGTCTTTGGAATGCCCACGACCTGTGACAGATGTGACCTCTGGCCTTTCTGGCCTCGTGATTGGTTGAGGTCCGATCATTTTTCAAAGGCAACAAAGGGAGGTAGCATCAGAAATGACGCTGATGCATCTGATATCATCAATGATACATCTAAGAATCTATGAATCTATGTGCATGTATGTAGAGACATAATTAAACACACACAGCCACACAGCGATCAAAAACATATTGGTCAACTCATGTCAACTCCAACTTTCATTGGATCTGTTGGTTCACATTGCCCAGCTGGAGATAGCTGGAGTGTGTCACCCTGCAACCAAGGTGCAGAGCAGTTCCAGTTTTTCTCCTTCATCAGTTCAGCCATTTCATAGGCACCACGATGGGTGCCATCTCCACCAATGATGAAGTGTGCGCCTGGGAGCTTGCTATCCCCTGCCATTACTCCACTTACCAGTACCAGTACAACTGGGTTATAACATGTTATGACCCCACTTACTAACCACGCCAAGCCATACCACACCAACCAGCATTGAAATTCGCTGCTGCTGGCGTGGAAGCCAGCACCACGGACCATGAGTTTGGGCAAGCATTGAGGCACACACGTACGCCCATGTCCATCAAGACTTGAGATTGCTCCTGCTGCATGACATGGAGAATCACCTATTATACCTATCGGATCCTATTGGATCCTATTGGCCCTATTGGATCATATTGGATCCTATTGGATCCTATTGGTCTACATGGGTCAAGATTTGATACCTCCCCCAAAATCCAAAGAAGAAAATCCTGAACGATCCTGGACCTCATCCCCACTGCAGCTGGGGCCAGCCATGTTGTGGTTAGTCAGCGGTTTTTGCTCCTCCTCTGTAGGGTTTCCACGGTCGCTGACCAGGATGGTCCTCAGGGATTCGACATGATTCGACAGCCACACAGCCAAGGGAAAGATATAGCAATGATATGGTGATAGCTTGACCTGTTTGGATAACTTTCAAAAGATCTTTCATATAGTTCTATAGCACTTGTAAAATCTTATAAATGTCCAATGTGGTGATAAGCTACTGTTTGAATATTTTGGCACTGAGTGATTCCTCTTGGCACATCTTGGCGCCTTTGGTGAGAGGTGGTCTGAGGCGCCAACCCTCCCATAGAGTTGATATCCTTCAGCCAGGACTTGCCGTTGAACACATCAAAGCCCGAACAGATTGATCCATGAATAAAACTGGGGATATGGAAAAATCTGAAACCAACCCCCCAACTACCCGGTACCCCCCCACACTAGAAATATGATGAAATATATACCCTCTGGACAACTAACAGTTTGCTATTGAAAATGGCCATAGAAATAGTGGATTTACCCAGCTACATAGCATGGTGATTTTCCATAGTTATGTCAACGTTTACCAGAGGGTAATCCTTGGACATCCTTTCGCGACGGCGCCTGCACACTGCTGGGGGTCAGCTCCATCCAAGTCTCAGGTTTCACCACCTGCATGGCTAGCTGCGTTTGGCAGCTACATCGTGAAACTGGGGAGATCACACCAGTGGTTTTACGGTTATCTATATAAACACATCATACATCTATATTTATCTATATTTATCATTCTCACCCACCTTTCGCATCCTTTTTATCTTTGGTTTGCCGCCAAGCGACTCCTTTGTAACCCCCGCGGATTCCATAGATCTTCTGGACCTCAGAAATGTGAGCCGTGGCGCCACGGGATGACAGCTGTCAATCGACAGGAGCTTGGCCACAGTGAGGTCGCCACACCATACTGTGCCAGCATCATCACCAGCTCGCGAATCACCTTGGACCAGCGGAAAAATTCTCAGCTTTTTGAAAACGAGAAAAATTGCGGAAGAATTCCCATTGCACTTCAGATCTTTCGCCTGGGATACACACAAACAAGTCACTTTCTCTATCTTTCTCTCTGCATACAAATATACATGACATGTGTGTTTATATATATATATATGTGTGTGTGTGTGAGTGTGTGTGTGTGTGAGTGTGTGTGTGTGTGATTGCGTGTGTCTAACAAATATATATATATATATGTAAAATTAATTATAGTATATATATATATATTTACTATAATTTGTCCTTCTCTCCAATATCAAAGGATTCGGATACCTCTCTATGGGCCCAGCCGACATCCCCCTCACCATTCCCGGGCCCCAAACGGCGTTCAACCCGGGGCATAAGCCCCCGCAGGTCACCACCGTGGCCACCATGTCTTGCGGCTCGAAATGCAGCACCGACCTGCCGAAACACCGGGCATCACAACGTGCACCGGAAAAAGGTGGATGAAGATCAAACAAATACAGAGACTCAAAAGGACAGCAATAATAGCTTTAAAATAGTAATCACAATAATATGTATACAACTGTATATATGTATACATGTATATACATATATATATATATATGTACGTATAATTAACTATATATACAAATATAATTAAACATATTCGCCAACATATTATTATATAAATTATATATGTGTGCGTAATTGTATCCGTGGTTGTCTGAAAAAATAGTGAATCTACATGAATTCACCTCAATTTGTTGCTATTTTAAGGGAGATTATGATAATACGTGTTGGCATCCTTCAAGTACAAAGTAGGAAAAAGAGGTATGGAGGAGATATGACCAGCCATGACCAGCCGAAATTGGCCGAACTCAACTTTGCAGCGTGGTACTGAAACTCCACTGTCGATCTTGTATTGAAACTCCATCGTTCCTACAATTCCATGGGCCATGGGCAAAGAATCATGGCCAATCTTAGGTACATTTCGGTACCCTGCCAAAAACCAGATTGTCCTGGACCCTCAATTGTAGCAAAAATGTTTGTATCAATTGGCTCTTGTGCCATGTTTATGGCAATTGTATCACTCTTCAGCCAAACGAGAGTAGAATTGCGCAGAACTAGCGAAAGTATGCAGAAGTAGGTGGCTCTTGGAGATGAAAGTTGAATATGTTGAATACATTGGACATCCTAGAAGCAGTTCTGATTCTAGGTCGTAACAAGATCTGCAAAAAATATGGAAAGAAATCGGACACCAAACGGGCGCAGGTGTCAAACAGGTTCATGAACCATCAATCGGGCACAAACTAGAGTGACATAGAATGACCAAGCTTCAGCGAATTTACTAAGATTGTTTGACAGTCAGCTTCTACACATTTTCGCACAACTTATACTATGCATTCGGATGCATTTGGCTTACTGTAGTGGGTTGGGCTGCTACCCATACTCTGGTGAAATCAGACACCATCCTGCCTGGCCCCTGCCAGGGGCATCTGGTAGACGCATTCAGGACCTCAAAGCGGTGAGTTTTCCAGGTGTACTTCGTATAGATTGGAGTAGCTTAGAATTATATAGATAGAATTGGGTTCAGTATGGTTGGATTGATTGTCTTTTTATATTTTTTCTAGTTTGGCTCAGATTTCGATTAGGTTGGATTAGATTGGATTAGATTGATAATCTGATAGGAACAATATAGGAACTTAGGGAGATAGATTTCCTAGTGCTTTTGTCCTGAACGGCCTTCATATTTTTTCCCACCTCTTTTTCTAGGGTGAATTCTGGGGGCGGGATTGGTCGTCTCACCCTGGTTCTGCCCATGACAGGACAGTTTTCTGTAAACGTTCCCGTGAACATCCTGAAACGAATGACCTTCGGATGTGCACTCTTTGCGGCACCTAAGTTTAACAAAACCAATCTGAAGTGGGTCGAGCCCTCTGAGTGTTAAGCTGTCAAAGGAGATGGCCTGCCAAACGTCAGAAACTGACTAGGGTCGTAAAATTGAACAAACAGTCCCGAATTGCTTGGCTGATCTGATTGATTGACCTGTGTCGCAAAGGCATCTCGGGCCACAAAGCGGCTCACAATGTCGGTCCTTGGCCACGGATTGGGTGGAGAGGTATGGCCCGGTATGGCAACTGCAGAAAGGCTAAACGCTGGTGGTTGCAAAAGCCGTGTCGCTTGTGATCCAAGTGAAACCGCTGATGCAACCATGTTTCAGAGGTGATGGCACGTTCTTTCCAGGAAATACCTGGCAAGGACACTAAGTCCAAAACTGATCCCAGTGTGGTCCTGTAGCCTCTATCCGACCATTAAATCATGCCCATAGGGACAACTCTGAAGCATCCTGAAACATCCTTAAACCATACAATTTTGGCCTAAAGGCATCCAAAGGCCTCAAATGCCTCTCCAGTTCGTGCACTCCAATCTGGTCGCAATGGCATGCAAAACCTCAACCATGCTACAGCCTAACTATCGCCCAAAGCGTTGCTTGGGCACGGGTCAACACGTACGTACCCCATTCAAACTATCAAAAAACATGTCAAAAACGGCCCAAGAGATCATAAATCATAAGATATCACAAGATATCATAAGATCTCAAAAGATATCTCACCTGCCCAGATCCATAAATTTCCAAGGACGGGATTTCCTCCCAGTCCAGCTCCGACCCTGGATAAATCGTCGATCAGGAGGCGCCGCAACTCCGCACCAGGCGGAAGGACGTCTTTGGCCTTGACACGCAAAAACAAGGGGGTTCAACATGGCTCAACCATCCTTATGTAATAATATATAGATATATATAGCCTATAGCATGCTAAATAACCCCCATTAACCCCCTATGGGCACCCACTAGATCTGACTAGATCCAATGTGATCCAGTACATCCCACCAGCATCTCGCTGCTGACGTTTAGATACGTGTAGTATTTTCAGGGGGGACTAACAACTATCCAAAAACAGGTTACAACAGTAGTGTTCCCCTTGGTTGGTTTGATCTCAATGTACCAATCCTCCATTTGATGGGCCCTCACCTCCAGCTGCCGCAGTGTCAAGAGTTTTCCATCAAAGTCTTCCACCACAAAGGCTGGTTGATCAAAGCCCTTCTTGTGGGGCCTCGGAAGGCGCCGGGCCAACACGCGCCTGATGGTTGGAGTATGGAAGCGGAAGGATTTCACATCACATATCAAGAATTTGGCCAAAAAGAAACATGGCATTTCTTCATTTGCCCCCCTGAATGCCACGCGAACACGCCAAATAACATCAAACAACAGAGTTTGGCTCGGGTTTTCATGTTGTTTTTTTGTCAGCCTATCTCCACCGACTGAATGCTACTGGAAAAATACTACTCCAACACTAGTCCTTCAAATTCGTCCAAAATGGACATACCCACAACACTGCCAGGGTTACTGAGGAGTCTTACTGTTAGGACATGTGATGGCATGTTGGGCATGTTTTGGCAACAGGACTTTATGGTTATTGCAGTTGGTTTCACACCTCCGCCTTGACCGGTTTTGGTGGTTAAATCACCTCCTATAGCCTGTAGGTATAGCTATCTAATTATTAGATCATGGGGTGTCATCCTTCCCATGACTAGGGATTCCTTTGGGTATGTATATATATATAAATCCCTATGGATTGATAACCATCCTCCAAGGAATTGGTCCAGGAATCCCGGATTTCTTCCATCCACAGTAAAAAATACCCAGTTAGAGCGCTATCATAGAGTCATAGAACAAGCTCCCCACTATAGTGAAGTCTCACTATAGTTAAACTGTACCCATACTAAACCCATACTAAACCATACCCAACCATCTTACTATGGTTATTATCAAATATCGTCAATACATGTGTGCATAAATATATATATATACAAACATATAGATGATTTGCCATAATTAACTAACCTGAAAGGAACTCACTAAAATAATCCAACCATCATTCCAGGGACGTCACAGTGAGGTCATTATAATTCATCCAAATATAAAAATATGTATACATAATATATATGTGTGTGTGTGTGCGTGTCTGTTCTGCAATATGGTCAACCTTTACAATATGAAATAGCAGCTCAACATTGTTTTAAATTAATATAAATTACACTTAATTAAGACATAGTCAACGTTTTCAATATGACATGCTAGCTCAACATTGTAACATTATCATAAGTTATACTTAAGACATAGTCAAGTATTTCAACCTGATATGCTGGCTCAACGTCAACGTAAATGATACTCTTAAGACTGCTCAACCTTTACAATATGACATACTAGCTCAACATTAGTATGAATTATACTTAAGACATAGTCTGAAAGGAAGAAAAACTAAGAGGTCCCCTAGGACCTCCTTGGAACCAAGAACCAAGAACCAAGATTCCCCCAAAACTTTCTGTGCAATCTTGGTTCTTGGTTCGTGGTTCCAGTGAGGTCCTAGGACCTCCTAAGACCTCTTGATGCCAGAACCATCATGTCTCACAAGTTTGTCTACATCCACGGTTATATATATATATTATATGGCACTCCCCCTCGAAACTATTTCCAAATTTATTTAAAAGAACGTAAAAACATATCCCCCAAAATATGCAAAAAACACCGTAAATACCAGTAAAAATAGTAAAAAGGTAAGTTTTTTTTTTTGGGGGGGGGGGGTACATATGTATAAACCTCCATCTGGTGTTGGGCTTGGTTGAATCCATTGCTATGCCCATCAACACTCCGAAAACGAACCGGGTCTCCCTGCATAAGCCGTGGCGGTTTCTTCTGCAAGGCCCGACGCTGGGCGGGTGCCTCGTCGGGTATGAAGATAACATACACACATACACAATATGTTAATATAAATATATTCATACACGAGTATGTGTGTATATGCAGCTTATATGCATCATATGAATTAATATGATTCAACGAAATAGTAGATGGTCCAATTGAAGCGAAAGCAACATCTGGAGAAGTCTTGGATGATCAACTTCGAGTGAAGAGTCAACTGACGAGCACACACGGTAACAGGTGGTGCTTGCACCACTATGAGCTGCGATTCCTATGATGATTGTCAATTTCAAGATCATCATTATCACAACCACCGCGCTTACACAGGAACATGGCTATGGATTAAAAACTCTCACCAACAATGGAATGCTTCGCCACTAAAACTGCATAGTGGTCAAAAGAAGCATGAGCCAGTCATACCATAATACCAATAAAGATAGAAATGATCATGAATTGTCACTTTTTCAGGAAGTATGTACTTTCATGTGTTCTTTTGGTGGGATAACTCTATATATAGTCATCCCCAAATAGATGGAAAAGTAAATCCCTCCTAATTTCATGGTGATTTACTTTTCCATCTATTTGGGGATGACTATATATGATGTTCATTCATTTTCCCTATTTTCTAATATATATATATATAGCCATACCTCGGCTTGTTGACATCTGAGTCCTGGACCAAGTTCGCTGAGGGCGTCGGGGGAGGTGCCACTTTCACCTCATTCCATCGCCATCGGAGTCGGAGTCTTGGCGGTTCTTATTCATGGCATTGGATGAATTCATGGGACTAATATGGACTACCCTCTGGTAAACTAACATAACTATGGAAAATCACCATGTTTATTGGGAAATGTCACTATAAATCACCATTTTCAATAGCTATGTTAAATTACCAGAGGGTAATATGGATTAATATGGATTAATGTTATAGTGAATGGAATGATATGAATGATTGGGATGATATTGATTGGAATGATGAATGACAGTTTCATTGACAAATCATGATCTGGTAGGCAGAAACCTGGAATTATGATAATTGGAAATCAATTGGGTGTCAGAATGTCAATTAAAACCATCAGAAAGCCAAATGCGAATGGAAAACGAAGAAATCATGGAAACCATAAACAAATTGTTCAACATGCCAATGGGATCAATGGAAAATCCGGCAAGGCCATTTCAATACAAATACTGGAAGTGAATCAGGCTGAACATTTCCTGGCTTTGAAGCCAGCGATATACCATCAATTTGGTGGGAATGGAGGCATGCCATTGATGATAGTGAAAGGTAGGTCCGCCCATATCTATATTTTTCTATAATACATAAGCACTGCATAGCACAACTGTATCCGATACTCTTCAAAAGGCCAAAAGTCATTGTTATACTTATAACTAACTTTTAACATCTTATAACAACTTATAACACTAAAAAGAATAGTGACAATGCTGAGAATTATCCTCATCATCGCCACCTCATTTTCCATCAACCAATATGTGAGGATCGAGTGCCCCCAACGGAACTGCCCAGGTGGTGTGCCATATAGGCCTCAGTCGTCCGGTAAAATTCCCTGAACAGATAGGCTTTGGAATTGGAGCTTCACTGGGCACAGCTGAGCTAAAAACGAATGGATCGTCCGGTTTGTCGGCCAGTACACCTTGATGCGGACAAAAAGCTGGAGCAAGATCAAGCAGTGTCCCCTCAATCTGTGCACAGCCAGTCCAGTGTAAGTGGTACCTCTACCCACCAAATCCCCATAGATTGGATGGCGGTTCATGTTGTCAATGTTGCATCATGTATCCCCATTGACGACCATGTAAGGGCAGCCCCAGAGGAACACAAACAAACATCCAGACAGTAGGAAAAA